ATATAGGCAGGTGCAAGATAAGAAGCATTCCATACCCGCCCATCAGAAAGTCGATAGGTGTAAGGTCCCTTCTTCTCTTATGATTTTAAGAGGAGCTGTGAATGTATGGTCCCCTTTGCGTAAAATTCCAGGTTTTCGTATTCTAACGAAGGAACCACACTCAAATTTTGGTTCCTTAGCACCCCGCCGATTGTCTGTGAAAGCCTTAGACTTTGCTTGGTTCTGCTCAACTGTTTTTCTCAATGAGTTGGTCTCTAATCATCTCATCTGCCATATTCCCAAAGTCACAAGTTACAATTGGACTCCTCAGGGAAGCCATATACTGCATTCTAGTCTCCCCTGGTTTCTGCTCACGCTGGCGAAATCTGTAGCGATTAGCTACTACATTCACTTTTGGCCCAAAAAAGTTCTTTAATGCAGTGAGTGCAGTCTCATATTTATCATCTGCAAGGGGAAAAGTGTAAAATATACACTGCCCTTCTGCTCCAAGGCAGTGGATTAGCAGAGCACGCTTTCTTACTTCAGAAATCTCTGTAGCACTGATTGCAAGCAGATAAGTCTCAAACATACGGATCCAGGCAGTAAAAGCAATTGGCGGCTCACCTGGGCTTTGCAGAAAGGGTGCAGGTGGGTTCAGAGGCAGAAGAGCGATCCTCGTCGCCAAAATGTTGTGTCACCCAGGCAAGGTACTAACAAACTTCAACAGGACTGCTACTGCTGCACCCTCTGTAACTCTCCCAGCCTCCTCAACTCCTCCCCGCTCCTTCCTGTTTCCTGTCCTTGCCGACTCCCAACAGCCCGTGCTCCCAGTTCTCATCATTACAGCAGCATCTAAACACCACAACCCCCCTGGGATGCCCCCAAATCCTGGCTCCTGGGATGGACAGACAGGGCTGGGACAATGGGTAAACCCTGCACACTTCCAGCTGTGTGGGGCGGCTGCCGCAGCCCCCCTTGCTCCAGCCCCGATGTCTCCGGGCTCCACCTGGACAATATTTATTGGTCGGTTATCACAGGCCTGTAGCTGGGCAGTGAGTGCCTGGTGAGGTCTATACGGGGGGGGGGGGGATCCTCGGTACCTCTCTTCTCCCCCCCCCCGTCACAGCAGGGTCGTTACATTCCCGGCTCAACGGGTCCCGCTTTCGTTGGTTTGTTTCCTTTTTATAAAATAATTAAATCAGGAAACTGGTCTGGAGATTATACATCGCCAATAAAGCCCTAAAAC